CGCTTATAAATATATATATATATATATATATATACATATTATTTCATAACTAAAAAATATAACTGAATTAAACATTCAGCTTGATTTACTAGTAACACTTCGGGTAGTTTCTTTGTAAAAAGGTACCAGCAGCTACCCACTCTTCCCTCCTTCACCAAAAAGTATTTTTAAAAGGTGATTTTCAACATTGGAGTGAATAACGCTCAGAAAAATGCTGTGAAAGGCAGCTGAAGCCTCACCGACAAATAAATAAAAATTTGAAACTGTAAGTGGTCGGTTAAACCTTTAAATAAAAGGGAGGGGTTGAGAGAGCCGCAACCTGGAAAATATGGTCCCAATAGCTTAGGGCAGAGAGTGATCGATAGGTTCCCTAATGTTAATTTCACTTTTTGTATTTTCCCTATGTCCTTAGAACTATATTTTAGGTAATTAAATAATTTTTGCACATATTTATAAGACTCGTTTATTCAAAGAAAAATAATACTACATTAAAATTATATTTTTACAATTGTTCATTTTTTTTCAATTTTAAAATTCGTAAAAAATATTTTAGTTGTTAAGCATAAAAATTTTAACACAATTTTTAAATCAAGTAATTTTGAATGACAAATTTAAAATTCGAGCGGAATCGATTAAATTTTTCCAGATTGCGGCTATTCTTACCCCGGATTTTGAGGGCTAAAAAATCAAAATACGCCAAAGGAAAAAAAGATGCATGTTTACTAAGAGAAAGTAAATTTTTACGTCTGATTTCGTAACTTAAAATATCGTCTGCACTAATTATTTAGCTTCTTTAAGGTTAATCTATTGCATCACTAAGATGACGTATTAGTTTCTGAAAATCCAATTATTAGTTTGAAAGTTATTAAGGTATTTTCGATTTTATTTTATGCACTGTACTGTAAGTTATATCCGGGGGTTTATTTATACATCTCAATCAGATATTATTTGTCGTTAGTTTCCAAACAGTAACAAATTGGAAAAAAAAAAGAAAGAAGGAAAGAAAGGAAATAATATTTATCGTTTGACTTTTTTTTTTACAAGAACACATTCTACCTAATGGTTGATGTAATTACTCTCATTATTATAGCATATAGCAAAATATAATTATGGCGATAATTACGTATATAGGGAACATAATGTAATTACACTTCATATATAAATATTGTAATTACACTCTTGTATGAATTGAACTTGAAAAGATAATTAGCATGACGTTTATTATTTTTCACTTCATTTGTTGAGAATGGAAATAGGATTTTACTTAAGTTCTTATAATTATTATAATTAAATATTCGACTTCTGCCTCGTGCAAATCATTGTAAATTTCGATTTCTTTTTTTTTTTTAAATTTTGGGAAGAGGCATTATAAATTACTTAATTTCGGCTTTATTATGTAAATACTGCATCATTATTTAAACTCAATGAATACCCTCGGTCAAAAATTTTGCCGTTTTAAGTTTCGAAATTCTCCAGATTTTAAATCGCGAAAGTCGAATTTCTTTATTTGACTGCTTTATTTTTATTAATTTTTTTAAAAAGATCTTTGCTTTTGTACCTTAAACTTTCGCACCGTTTGTTAACTTACAGAGGAGGAGACTTTTTTTTCCATTACTTCTTCTTTCTTTCTTTTTTTTTTCAATTAGTTAGTTACACTCATTTTGGAATGTTTAAATTAAAGCTAATTTAACCGTAAAAAATAATAATAAATTGGGACTATAAATGTTGTTTATACTTTAACATTTAGGACATAATAATGTGCTATGGAACGTCAGCACGCTAAAAACAGATTAAGAGTAAAAAAAATTAATATCGTATTTAACAACAGCGTTTTCATTAGAGTTTAGATGCTTTATAAATTATACATTAAACTAAATAACGTTGTTTTATAAATGCTAAAGAACGACGCATTTCATTTATAGAACAATAAAAAAAAGAAAACAATACTTCGCCAATGCAGAATGATTCATTGTAAAATTATAAAAATGGTGGCCTTTTAACAAGGAAAATAAAGCATTTTATCGACATATGTAAGCTATAGTTTAAAGGTCGATTGTTTTTCCTCCTACGCTTTATTACCGCGCTCTATAGGTGATAGGGGATGAAAGTTATCAAAGAAAACAATGGAAGGCGGAAAGTGTCGCGTGTTCTTTTATTTTTCCGCGAAGGAATGACGAAGGCGGGGTGCAATGCCTCACATTTTTAACACCATTTACTTTGTTTTGATGTCCAGACAGCTATGTGAAGGGTGGTCGAGTATTTTTTGCATCCAGACGTCTTAAAATAGATTGAACAGCGGGATCAAACACTGTATGGCAATTTTGGTTACTAGGAATGTTCGCTTTTTGGAAAATATCAAGCTTGGTGTTAATGGATTTTTTCGTTCATTGGTGTAGATTTTATTTAAAAGTACCGCTTTAATGGAAATATGCTTTTGAAAGGAGAGGGAGAAATTGTAATTTGTTTTCCCCGCCTATACTCAAAATACACAGAAAAAGTAATATCAAAGATTCAAATTTTTTTGGTTCATATGCTTTTTATCATCACATTTTTTGTTTCGTGTAAGTTTGGCGTTTAAATACTAAAATTTTGTGCCTTTGTGCACATTGAAACAGTAAGAGTAATATTTTATAATATTTATAAATTTTTAGGGGTTAATGTTTCTTTCCTTCTTTTTCTATTCATAATATCTGATTAAATTGTTTCCGAAAACTTTAAATAATTTAAAAGATACTAACAAGAAGTGACAAAAAAAAAAACAATAGAATATAGCTTAGCCGATTAAAAAAAAATAAATGTTTTAACTTTTATAAAAAAACAACACTAAATCTTTAACGATATAGAGGAAAGGGAGAAAATACAGGGTAGCTAAGATTCGAAGGCCGTTGGAGCAAAACTGTCCAACTAAGAAACTGTCAGATTTAACCAAGATTTGTTGTTGTTGTTGACGTATGACTGTTTAGGCAGAGGTGTGCGATTGTTCTTGTTTTCCAGTGGCGCCATCTATGGCCAAGAATTCGACTTCTGCCACACCATACGGCGCACCCGTTCATAGGGCGGAACCATTCATTTATCCACAGATCGTAATTTTGACCTGAATCAGAGAACGATCGATCTCGAATCCAGTACCCCCAGAGGTTTTGATTTGTTATGGGAACATGGAGGACTTTTGCGACTCGACAGATTTAAAGTGCATCAGTCACTTTACTACTCTTCGACCGACGGGAACCCACGAACTCTCGGACATGGGCTGAGCGCCCTTACCGACCAGGATATCCCAGCCATCAACCAAGATTTAGCTTCGTACAATATATCATTTCGGAAAAGTCATTGATGTACTACTTTTTAATCAATGATTTTTTTTTTCTACAAATAGTCTTATCACCCGGTTTTACCTCACTAGTAGGGTTAAAACCTGGTACACATAACTCGACAGGAAATTCATAAATACTGAAATTTCGGTGAAAGCGTAGTATGCATTTCGATTTTATATGACAGTTTAAGAAAATTAGGTATTTAATTTACATGTTATGTAGTCAAGGCCGTACTCGAGGGAAGGAGGGGGACAATTGTCCTGGAGCCCGGCACTGCTGAGGGCTCGTCCGAAATTCCTTACAAAACATACAGTGCTTTTTAATTAGTTTTTTTTTTAAAGAAAATTGTAGGGAAAATCTTTTAGTTAAACCATATTAATCTGTTAAGTTAAATCATATTATAGCTCATTTGAACTTGATTATGATTATACGGCACTACGGTTTAGGTTAAACGGACACATAGCTTAATTTTACACCTTCTTAATGCTGGAACAATTTTGACCGCATTATGGTTCAAGGTACCGATATGATGGTTCAATGTTGGACCAATTTTTCCGAAACTGTTTCAAAATGTTTTTATTGGTAGATACGCCAAAGAGTCGCAAATTCAAAGTGAAAAAAAAAATCGAATTTAAAAAAAAAATCGAATCTTGTTTTCCTTTACATTCGTGATGAAAATATATTTTTAGTAGTCATAATTATATTTAAAGAGTTCATGTAATTAATTAAAAATATTTGTAATTTTATGATTGAACCCGCACCGCAAGGATCATAATATCGACAGTTGACTTATAAACCTTATCATTTTTGCTCACTTAACACTGCAATTTCATCTACAATTTTGTTATTTTTAATTTCCCATTTAAATTTCGGTTAATATTATTTACTCATTAATTTTTTTCCTTTTTTTTTGCAAAAGAAGTTATTTTGAAATGAGGCGAAAAATTAACTGAGCTGCTGTAGCCAGTAATGTTTTACAGTTTTATATTCATTATTTTAACTCGATGCCCTGACTGAACAAAAATTTACACAAATCGTATAGTTAAAGGAAATAAAACTCTTATTCATTGTTCAATGATTCTTAAGGCGGGGATAGCCTGGTCGGTAGGGCGCTGGGCTCATTTCCGAGAGTTCGTGGGTTCGAACCCCGCCGGCCGAAGACTCCCCGTGTAGTAAAGTGACTGATGCACGTTAAATCTGTCGAGTCGCAAAAGTCCTCCATGTTCCCATAACAAATCAAAACCTCTGGGGGTACTGGATTGGAGATCGATCGTTCTCTGATTCAGGTCAAAATTACATTCTGTGGATGTATGAATGGGTCCGCCCTATAAACGTGTGTGACGTATGGTGTGGCAGAAGTCGAATTCTTGGCCATAGATGGCGCCACTGGAAAACAAGAACAATCGCACCCCCTCTGCCTAAACAGGCATGCGTCAACAACAATTCTTGGCCATAGATGGCGCCACTGGAAAACAAGAACAATCGCACCCCCTCTGCCTAAACAGGCATGCGCCAACAACAACAACAATGATTCTTAAGCGGGTTCTATGTTTAAACACCGAGATTTAAATATGTTATTCATAAAATGTTCCTTCATATGTCAATATCTTAGGATTATTTTGAAATAAAAAGAAAAAAACCGCTTTCAGTTTTAGCATTTAATTTGCTCCCACAAAATCAGTTCAAAGCAGTTTCGAATCAAAGCGCCGATCCACAGAATCGATTTTCGAAATGTGAGTTGAGAAGTATTTCAAAATTTGGGAACCCTACTTTTCATAATAGAATCAACGTTGAAATTCGTAAAATAAATAAAATAGTTTCACTTTCTCCTATTCTTGGATGTTGCATAATGATCAAATAATATCGTACTTTATGTTTGTGAAAGACATTTATTTTCAACAACATAAAGTAATAATTTTCATCACAATAATTTGGATCATGTCTTTCGTGCTGATCATTTTACATAAGAAGTGCATCTTTAACAAAATTTGGATCCATGTTTCTTGCCATCATTTGTGCTTTCTTAGAGCAGTATTTGCGAGCATTTCTTTGAATACAGTGATTCATGTCTGCGAAGAGTGCATTCAACCTGCAGCATTTCAAATTTAGATATTATAAAACTTGCATTTTCTTATAATCGTGATATCAATATAACATTCTTAACATTTTCATTTGGTTGAATATCATATAATCTAAAATAATAAATTATTTTGAAACTGAAAAAAAAATATATTGAAAATTGTCTAAATTTCGATTGGCGATAAATTTGCCCGTACTAATTTTAAAAAAAATTGTTGCACTTTGTATTGGCTCCAGATGAAATACAGGCAAACTAAAGAAAGTCGCAGAAATTTTGACTGTCGATAAATATTAATTTCGAATTATGGTAAATTCTATTTGACGATGATCTGACCATAAGTAGGGGAGAGTAGGTCAATTGTAACATTTTTTACTAACTATTCTTAACTAACAAAAAATCCAATATATTATTAGTATTAATTGACAGACGAGTAAAGTAGACTATCCTCTACTGGAAAAAAAACCTTATTTTAAATGCTATTATATTAGTTATTGTTATTAACAATTTTTGACAGTCGTGCACTTGTTACAATTGTCCTCACTTACGGGGTCAATTGTAACAGTTCGTAAATTCAACTAAAACATAGTTAATTATACATATTATCATAGTTGTGATATATTTTTTATTGATCAAAATAGTAGTGATATTTTAGGAGTGAAAATAATAATGAGCAGAGACCTAAAGGGTTAAACTTTTCACTTTAAGGGGTTACAAATTTTAATTTATGCTGTGAAAGGTGACAAATAAAATAATGCACATTCAACATAATATAAATGATATTGGAAACTATTGGTGGTTCTTAAAGAGTTAAGTAATGGTTTGTAAACATAAGATTATTTATTTTCAGCTGCTACAATCGTCCCTTTACTTATTGTTACAATCGTCCAAGACGCCATTTCAGCTTCATTTGTTAAAAACAATGCTAGTTAATTAACAAAACTAATTTTTTTTATTGAAATGTAAATTAAGGTGTCCACTTACATATTTGGCTAATAATTTTTATTTGTTTAAACAAAATTACTTTGTTACAATATAATATTCAAATGCCAAAAAAGTACTTACGTAGCGTGAAAATATCTTTTGTGATGTAACTCTTTCAAAAGTACTTAAAAATGGTTGCCAGCAGGGGTGTACGTGTAGATTTATTAAATACACCTAGTGCGCCACCTAGGAACCAAATCTAGTACCCGACACTCGAAATGTTTGCTCTGTTACGATCGTACCCTGTTACAATTGACTCCACTCTCCCCTATTGTCTGTAGCAGACAGAAAACCATCAAAATTTATTGTGTCATCAGACACAGAACTTCAGTTCAAAATTGATAACTTAAACTGGTAGGAAAAAAGGTTCAGACGACTATTCCCGATTTGCAATGTGACGATAAATTTTTCTTGCCACTATTTAGATGATAAATTTAGTTTGCTACTTATGGTGGTGAAAATTTGGGTTGGGATTACGCACAGAATTACAGTTTGAGCTATTTAACTAGTCGGAAAGTGGGCAGATTTGATAGACGATAAATTCTATTTTGCGATTATATTGATATAAATTCTTTTCTATGACGTCGGAAAACCGTTTACACACGAAATGTAGTGCAAGAGACGATAATACGACGTTAAATTTTGTTTTTAGTGATCAGAAAACAATTGAAACATATGATGTCACTCAGCCCAGACAAATAAAAGTTAAGTGCACTAAGCTTAAGTGCTCTTGCTAAGCTTAAAATGGCGACGGTTGGGATTTCGATTTACTATAAATTCACTTTGCCTATTGCTTCGTAATGAATTAAGCCGCGATGGCGCAGTGAGTGAAACACTATAGGCTTTCCAATGAGGCAACCTACGTTTGAATCGCGAATACGGGTCAGTTTCATTAAAAAGTTCTCTCCTAAGGCTATTTTGTTCTAATGCTTGATCCCTTGGCTTTTAGGTAGTGTTCAAAGATACAAAACTACAGACCACTGATAGTCCCAAACCCAAAAAGGGTCAGCTACTCATCACCGGTTAAAATAAAAAATAAAAGGAACGCTGCTTGTAGCTGTCAGGAAATGATGAGAATTACCTTACTATGTTCTCAAGAAATGGCGAATTTTGAAAAAATAAAATTAGCATTAAGAGGTCCAAACTTTATATTGCTCTCCTGATCAAACAATGAGGACCCATATTTCCACGATTGCTGCTAATCCCTATATTTTTGGAATCAAAAATCCTAAACCATGATTAAAAAAAAAGGTATGTTTATTCCGAGGTATTATGATTTTGTGTCTAACTATGCAACTTATCTTATGCACTAATTGATTAGCATATTTAAAGTTATCCTGATTTTAAACCCCAAAGCTTGCATATTAGTTCGCGATAATTCGATTATTAGATCACAAGTTATTTTGATATTCTGTTTTTCTTATTTTTTATTATGGCGCTCTGTTCATTTTGATCATTTACGAATAACCGGAGGTTAGAATATTTAGGATCAAAGTACTTACACATTATTTACGTGTAATAAATCCATGGATCCGCCAAGCATATTCGATAAATCCATTGCTGGATCGTCCATAACGAACTCATTACAACCTTGTATAACTCTAGGATCAGAGAAGCATTTTTTTAAAGCGTCATCCATCTGAGACGAAACTGAAAACATCAATATTTTTATTTACTTCAATATCGTTCTTGTTATAAATACAGTCAAACCCCGCTATAGTGAATACGGTTTATAGTGAACTCTCAGATATAGTAAACGAAATTTTCGGTCCCGTGCTTTGCTATACACGTATAATGTTATTTTCAGTGGAAATAGCGAACCAAAAAAGTGAGGAAGTTGGATATAATGAACTTTTTTCTGCCTTCGACTGATTACTCCCCCATTTTTTTGGTAATAATTTTGAAATTTCTCCTTCAAAATAAATACATATACCGATTTTTAAAACCATCTGTAAAGGGGCATGTAGCGATAAGCATTTTTCTTGTTTGCTTCTTTTATCTCACTCTCCCATCGCTAAACAAACCAAGCAGATGTTCCCAACCCAGGCAGATGATGCACCTGTAAGGGGTCAGTGGGATCAATATGGATTTTCTATCAGAGGGAATGAGCAATTATTCATTATTGGTCAAAGGGTTGGACACTAATATGTGTTGATAAGGCCCTCATTTCAATTCCTTTTTGCTCTCAGTTCTGTTAAAAAAATCCTGCAAACAAGTGTCTCAAATTTAACTATGGCGAACAGTAAACGTAAAACGTTCTCCATTGATGATAAAATGGGCATAATCAGAAAAATTGAAAATGGATGCAATCAAGCTAATATTTGCAGGGAATATAAACTATCCAAATCTGCAATTTGTAACGCATGGAAATATAGGCAATTAATAATTTCTGCTCATGAAAAAAATTTAGATGGCAGATAAAAGTTGAGAAAAAGCAGATCACAAGGATGCTGAAGAAGCATTACTGAAGTAGTTCACCAATCGAAGACGCCGCAATCTTCCAGTTTCTGGACAAATGTCGATGAATTTGTTAAGCGATTTTATGAGACTACTTTCTGTGCTCGAATGGCAAGTAAGAAAGGTTTAAAAAGCGAAATAGCGCAAATTCAGAAAAAATTATCTGAGAGTCGGGAAGTGTTTCCATATCTGATGTTAAAGATTGCTCATCAGCTAAAGATTACTAACTTTTATTTGTACGCAGGACGAAGAATAATGAAAAATAACAAATTTTTTGCTACTATATAATATTTTTCAGTCATTTATATGAATATAATGTAATAAAAGGGAGGAGTTTGGGAACCATTTGTTAAATTGCCTGCGTAACGGATATAGTGAACTCCAGGTTATAGTGAACCGAAATTTCGGTCCCTTGAAGGTTCACTATAGCGGGGTTTGACTACGTAAACTCTAAAATGTGAAAACTGTTAATATGCACATTTAGCAAACTTTAACAAGTGCTTATTAAAGTGCAAATTATCTAGGCAATTTGAGAAATAAACAATTTTTATGGCTCTTTCTCGGATCAACCTATTTAATCTGAACATCAGCTAGATAACCTGTAGAGTAACCGATTTCTACATTTTAGCGATAACATATAAAAAATGATCTTGAACAACATAAGCGCAACAAAACCGTTAAATTTAATATACAAAATTAAATCAAAATAATATCTGGTTAAAATTTTCTTTAACTGTTTTTACGGTGCTCAACACATGATGTATAATTAATTATGTAATGATAATGAACGGAATCTTTGTTAGACTTTCTTTTCTACTTATTGTAAGTAAATAGTCTCTTGCAACGAAAAATTTGGATAGACTAAAGACAGTGTATTTTTAATCCTCCAACCGAGATAATTCGTTCTAATGGAATTAGTCAGGTTTCTCCTTTAAAACAACTTGTAACTTGTCTTGCATTAGCTGAAATGCCAGAGCATGGGGATCTGTAGCCGATACTCGCTCTTAACTTCTTATTTTTATTTTCGTGGAGGCATATGAAACTATATCGTGTTTAAAATTATCTTTGGATAAACTACCCTAGCTACGAAATAACTTGAGATTCATTGGACCAACATTCATCAATCTTTTCGATATTGACCTTATTAGAATTCGATATTGGCCTTATTGGAATTCGATATTGGCCTCATGTAGATTCACCCGATATTTTGCAGCCAATTCGGCCCTATATAGAATTGTCAGATTAACCAGATATTTTACATCCATTATTCAGCCAATATAAGCCACTCTATATAGGCAGATATTGACCCTATATAGAACCAATATTAAAAAATCTAGAGATCCCAAAATTGGTTCCTTGGTGCATGATCTAATAGGACTCCATATTGAGCCAATTTTGAGTCCAACTGGGGCCAACGTAACATTGTTGCTAGGTTAGTTTCACTTTTTTTTATGTAATTTAGTTTAATAGAAATGCGTGAAAAGTAAAATTAACATAAGGGAACCAAACTTCCGACATGGCAGGCTGCTTTTCACTGTTTTTTTCTTTTTCTTTCTTCATTCTTTTCTGTGTTACACAAAAGAGTAAGCTTAGTATTTTCTGTATTTTTAGCGATACATATTCTGTGTTAGGACTAATGGGGACATTTAGTCCATATCGCCTCGTTTCTCCTGTCTTTGGTCAAGCACTCTCTTGCACTTTTCTTTTTTCACCACCCCCTTTTTTTTAAAAAAAAATAATAAATAAAAGGAAGTATTTTACGTTCCCATTTCTTCAAAATATTTTAATTGATAAAACTATATTTGGTGTAGAAATTTATTTGCATTTTGTCCACATTGCTTTTTTTTCTGTCTTTAATGTTGTTTCATTGTTTTATGCAAAAAAAAGCGTAATATAAATCTTTTTTTCTTCATTTTAGTTGATAAAATTACGTACAGTGAGGAGGGCAGATATGAGAATATTTTTTTTCTATAATACTTAAAAAAAAAAAAAACTACTGCCGTTTAGTTTATCTTTCGGATTAAAAATCTAATTAAAACCAATGAGGGGAGAATTATATTGTTTTTAACAATTTCAATTGTTGCATTTTTCAAAAATCATTTTTCTTTTTATGTTATTTTTGCCGCCTACTCCCCATTGCTTCCAGCGTTTAGATTACGCAATATTTTGGTTGAGAAGACTGTTTCTTTGAAGGCCTTGCCGTCGCACGGAAAAACACATTTTAGCGAACATAAGCTTGATATATTTATAACTGTTGTGAATTTGTAACAGTTTATTATGACTGTTAGGTTAAAAGTTTGTCTTTACTGACTGTTACTTTTAGCTAGAGCCTTCTATACTTATTACGAAAACAGCACAGTTTTCCTGATCTAATTTTTTAATATTTGAAAAGATACTTCAGTAATCAATGCTTCAACGGAGCAATGTCTAGATTCCTATAAATTTACAAAAAAAGAAAATTTGTAAATGATTTCAATGATTTCTATTTAGGTGGCAAAAATCTCGACAATTTAGCGATATTTAAAAAGTTAGATACTTTTTTTGAAAAATTTTTAAGCTTTTCTTTCTATTTTAAAACGTAGATTATTTTTCATGGCAAGATGAGTGATACGGTTTAAAATTATATCGTTGTTCCCAGTTTAATGCATTTTAACTGTGGCTTTTTTTTCCATTTTCCTTGGCGAAATAGACCTTTGAAAAATGCCTTTAAACGAAGCTGTAATCGTTCAAACTTGAAGGAATTTTCCCGAGACCGTTTTCTAATGTCAAGTAAAGAAAGAATTCCATTTATGGCTACATTTAAACTGTCTCGAATAGCTTACATTTAAACAGAGTTTTTAGAATTTATCAGGCAGCATACTTACCAAGTCCTATTATTCCTAAAACACATAACGAAACAGATAAGATTCTAGATCCCATAGCTGATATCGGCTGTCAATGAGAAAGTGAACAACAAGCATTTCGATACAAGTACGCATAGAACAGCAAACACATTTCTATTATCGCTATATTTACACGCTGGAGTTTACGATATGTTGTACTGTTATTTCATAGATACAAATGAAATAAAATTGTAATTTACTACAAGATGCAATCGACGAATCGAAAGGTAAAGAAACAACGTTGTATAAGCATTTTATTGAGAAATATACTTAAAGTAGAATGGAAAAAAAATATTTTTCGCGAAAAAGACAATTAAAAAAAGTATGAACCAGTTACGATCTATTTTTTTTCCAAGCGATATATATATATATATNAACAATAAAGCTGTATAGTATTGCCTGATAATTAAGATTTTGCATAGAATCTTTAGTGCGTCTAGTAATTTGACCTGAGACTGTATGTGATATATATTTGAAGAAAATATAAATCAAAATAAATTAATTACCTGACAATAATTCGATAAATAATACTAAAGCAGGGATAATCCGTACAGCAGCATAACAGGCAATCTCAAATAATCCAAACACTACATAAAAGAAAGAGCAAAATAAAAGAATAAAAAATGGAAATGGATGCACTGGCCAATATGTCATCGTCATACCATGCCGTCAGTGTGAAAGCAGTTTCTGCGGTTAAAGGTAACGCTCCTTTGATGACTGTTATGTTGATGTGCTTTTATTTCCATTTTTGTCCTTCTTTCTCTTTCATTTGTGCATTGATTAGTTGCTGCATTGATTATTCACGATTTCCTGTTATGCTGCTTTTTGGAATATTCCTACCTTAATGTTATTTATCGGATTCATGTCAGGTAATTAATTTATTTTGAAGTCATCATTACTTTAAATATAGAAAATCATGTAAACGTCTACATCTGTAGACATGATCTACATGCGCGACACCGTGTCCGTTTTCTGATTAGATAGAGCACTCAAGCTAAAACTGGAATTCCGTGGTGATAAATGAAAATTTTTAGGGTAAAAGTCGATACGATTTTTATTAATTTTATGTGGGTTACAACTAAAGATATCCATATTTGCTATATTTATTAACAGACATATTATGTGGTTGTTCTGTCTTCAACGATATTCATTGGATGCTGCTATACTTTCAACAGTTTTCATCAAAATATTGATATGATTAGCTGTGACTCAAGGGATGAGCGTACGCCTCCCAATTGGACAAAACGGGTTATCCCAGCGTTGTCTGTCTGATACGAATTCTGCTTCGGGGTCGCATCGATCACAATGCTTACGTTAAATATTCTCAGTGGTTTAAGGGCTCGAATCCCCTTGTTGTCGGGCTAATCATGGGAGATTTACATATTTTTCCTCACCATGTAACGCAAATACGGGTTAGTTTTGTCAAAAAGTCCACCACGTAGACTAGTTTATCCCGATGCTTGATCCAGAGTTCCCTCGTCTTCTGTGTTGGGTTTAAAATTACAAAGCGACGGAGTTTAACATCTGTAGTCGTAAACTCAGAATTGGGTCGACTGTTCAACACCGTTTATAAATACTGTTATCCGTAGTTAAACTCAAAATAGTATCAAGTGTATTTGTACAAAAATTAATCTTTTCTGGAATTAACAGAAACCTTACTCATTATGAACAAATGTTGAAAGAGAGAATTATCGAATAAAGCAAAATGAGTGTCAAGGTTTCATGCTGCGAGACAACGGCACAGAGGTCGAACGTTTTGTAAGAATATTAACTTATGAATTTAACGCTTTGTAAACAGAAAACTGCAGGTGATATATGTAATGAAGAATTACAGGAAATGCTTATCAAATCGTTAACATAACATTTATTTAGCTGTATCAAACATTTTAAAAAGATAACTGTTAGAATGATTGTTCTATTATTGTTTATCTATTTTGTTTTTATTAAAAAAAAGTCATTTAAAATTAAATTAACTTGCAGCGTTTACATTGCCATGATACGTTATTTATATGGTTAGTGCTTCATGTAAGGAAAAAATGTACAAACTTTTGATACTTACACTTTATTGTTTCTTTTACGATAATATTTGAAAGAGCGATAATTTTATGATACGATAATTTTTGAAAGAGATTTAGAATTTTTTTTTCATGCATGTCAATACAGAGTTGGAAAAAAACGTTAAATAACAAGTTAAATCCCAAATGAAAAGTTATTAAACCATTAAAAAGTATTTCACGGAAATATTTTTAACTATTGATTAATATTTTGATAAAGAATGCTAAAAAGAAATTCACTTTTTTTCTAAATATGTGAATATGACAAAAAAAGAACATGCTTATTTATTACTTAATTACTCTGCTTAAAAAAAAAATAAGCATTTAATATCTAAATGTTTTTTTAATAGTGCATGAATGTAAAAGTTAGTTTACCTCTTTGATTGTTAGTATAGACATAAAAATGTCGCCGCAATTCAACATTTTTTACATTAATGTCATTGTTTAGAAATATATAATTAACAGTATTAATATAAATTAATTGTTATAAATAAACATTTCTTGTTTTTTGTATTTAATAAATTAATAATGTATTATATTCAAATTTTAATATACATGAGCGTGAGATATTCTAAGTAAAATATTTTTTCAATTAAAAAATATTTAAAATTCATAGAATAATGAAAAGAATTGAAAAAGACAAATGGACTGTATAAATATAAATACATTAAATTGTAAAGGTATGTTTTCGTACTAACGGTTTGAAAAAAAAAAGAATAAATACTTTTTTGTCATTTGTGTCACATGATGGAGCTGTAAACCTAACAATATTCTTATTGATGTATCGCAGCATTAAATAAATAAGAAAAAAATACCTTAAAAATATTTTTATCAATTTAATATTTTTCTTGGACTTTTCTTATTGTAATTTAAAAATTACAATAGTTAATATTACAGCGCATATGCAATACAAATTTATTTTCACTGGTAACATTGAATTCTAAAAAAGCACCTCATTCACATTTATAATTTTGATAGTAGCAAACATTGTATTAATAAAAATAAGCTTTGAAGAACTTGAGTCTTTCAATAATTACAATATTTAATTTAAAAAAATTACAGATCATGGGTAGCGTCTATTTTATTTTAAAAATTTTTAAAATTTATAATTGTAGTATAAAATTATAATATTTATAAAAGTTATAATTATAATAATTAAAATTATAATATAAAATTTTAAAATTTTCTTATTTTATTTTAAACGTGGAAAAAAAAACTGGCCCGAAAGAAAAAAGCTTCTTTTAACCCAAATGAGAGAAGCTATTCTTCAAAAAAAAAATATCAAACATCTAAACGGTATTTTTTACAGTTTATAACTGCAATTTAATTTAAATAATCGTATATATATTTTTTTAACTATTTAATGTCTCGTTTTTAAAAAAATAAAACTAAAATACAGAAAAATTCTGAATTTTTTTATGAATTTCTTAAAAAATTAAAATAACTAGTTTTTCAATATTTTTTGTTAAAGAGTATAATAAAACATAATTTTATAATTATATAAAGTATTAAAATAATATAATCAAATTTTATTAATTCCCCTAAACAAAAAAATCACATACTAAACATAGACTACTAAAAATACACATTTAATTCTCTATTATAAATAGTATACAGATTTTTATAATCAAATAATGTAAAGTATGAGTACTCAAACCGACTCTTAAATAATATGATATATAGATTTCAAAATTCTCCATGAAATTAGAAATAAATAATTTGCAAAAAAAAAAAAAAAAAGTGAATGGGAAAAATTTTAAGCTTTCTTTTACTATATTAATTTTAACTCGTTTAAAATTGAGTTATTCGGATAATACTTATAATTACACAATTGGTCATTTTTAGTTTCTTCCATAAGTTTAATTTTTTTTATTTCTTTCACTGTCCCGGAAGAAATAAGTTTCTTCCGGGATCGCGGATACCGGACGAAATGCCAACCTTGTTTAATATAGACATTTTTTAAACCATTTCTACGACAAATTTATTTCACGTCCATTTCTACGATTATTTTCCAAACCATTTCTGATTAAACAATTTTCACTTAAACAATTAAAAATTGCAAATTTATGTTTATTTGAAATAATACAGATTCCCATTGGCAATTAAACTCAAAATTATAAATCTTTCTCTGTTTTTGAAGTTATACTTCTTATGCGACTTCCAACAAGGTTGCGTTAAACGTTTAACGCTACATTTTTATTGGCCGGGAAATCACGTGGTAGGATCCAGTTTTCCCTCATTCATTTCCATATTGTTTTGGTTCTCACTAGCATAAAAATAATAAAAGTCATAAAAGTATTGTTTTTCTATAAATATTTTTTTAGTTTGTTTTGATACACATATAATTTAATAGGGTAGTATTTTTTATTTTCAAATTTAGTGGATAACAATTGTAAAAAATGAGTGAAAACAATCCCACGGACAATGCGACGGATTTAAGGTTATGTCAAGGAACGTCTCTTGTGAATATCAATTGATTGTTTCTCTTTTGAAATTACATTATGACGCATTCACATACATTATTAATACAAATACATTTTCCAGGGTGAGACGATGAGGCAACCACAAGCACTGGTTCAAGAGGGAAAAATGCACAATATTACCGTGATTACAGAGCACGGAAGCGAGCGGTGCAGGAAAAAGAGTTGTTGAATAGAACTAGTGATCCTTCTACGACTGCTGATTCTTCAACAATTAACGTCGTTGGTTGCGAAGTTTAACTTTTCCGCGCGGAGGGACTCCACGCACTATTTTTTATTTTGTTACAATCAAACGGAAAGAATTTATACATAGATAATAGAAAATTTAATTAGATAAAATATTTAAAAAGGAAAACCAGGGTTAGACCTTTTTTCCTTCTGAATTACATTACACAATTCCTTCTAAATTACATTTGCAAACTAAATTACACAGAGCTTAAACAAGCCAACTCCGTGTCAAAACGCATAAAAAAAAATAATAAATTAAAAAAAAAAAAAAAAAAACATTTGTACAAGTTTAATTTTATTAAAAAATCCTTATTTAAATTTTCGAGGCTTCGTAACTTTGCAGGGGATTGTGAACCCTTTGGCAACGCCTGTGCCTATTGACTTCCTATTCCTATTGACTTCTTGTTAGCTTTCTCTTCCCATCATTTCGATTTTTACATTGTAATCTTACAGTGAATTGCAATTCTTTTAAAAATTATTTTACACTACAATGCACTGAAAAATAAAACAAGACAACTATTATTTACTATCAGATTAAATCATTAAAAAAAAAAAAAAAAACGAATCACATTTCCTTTGCTGAAATTAATTTCCAAAAAAACTTGAAATTACATACAATCGTGTAAAATAGATTATCATCACGTATTTCGCACATCATTCACAACTACAATATGTGAATGAAACATCAATTAAATAAATAGTAAGAAAAAACTTAAAGATGTGTACTACTTCCATAAAGAAAAAGTGGTGACGCCCAAACGGAGAGTTTGGCATCCCTTTCTTCTCGCCAAGGTCGGTCTTGAGGATCGGTCCGCGGCTGACCCCGCGACTCCGTGACCACTCCTGCGTGTCCGATGGCTATCCACGCCACTTGATAATATCGACACTGCCACAAAAATTGTGAAATCTCCGGTGTTTTTGAGGCGGACTCAAGGGCTCGTTTTCTCTTCATGCAGTTTTTCCTCATTTGTGTTTCTTAAGGTGAGGGGAGCGAATGGAATGGACAACATGAAGGTGAGTTAAAAATTATGAACATAAATTCAGGAATGTTACGAAAAATTATTAATTTTTTCAAAGAATATTTTTAAGGTATTCTGTTTTCTTCAAATTTAAACGTTAGAAAAATTGAAGTAAAATTAGTTGATTTTTTAAAAAAAATTTTTTTTTCTTCTTCGAAGAATGGAAGTTAGAAAAAGGAAATTAAATTATATTTTTAAGGAAAAATTAATAATTTAAATTGTAAATTTTTTTCAAAAAGTATTTTTAAGGTATTCTTTTCTCTTCAAGTTTAAACGTTAGAAAAATTGAAGTAAAATTAGTTGATTTAAAAAAAAAAAATTTTTTTTTTCTTCGAAGAATGGAAGTTAGAAAAGGGAAATTAAATTATAATTTCAAGAAAAAATTAATAATTTAAATTATTAATTCTTTCAAAAAATATTTTTTAGGTATTGTTTTCGCTTCAAATTTAAACGTTAGAAAAATTGAAGTAAAATTACTTGATTTTTTTTTAAAAAAAAGTTTTTCTTTTCTTTGAAGAATGGAAGTTAGAAAAGGGAAATTAAATTGTAATTTTAACGCTATTTTTTTAAAATTGTACGAAAAAAGTAAAATAAAATAATTTATTTCAAATTACTTTCTAAGTTTAAATTTTCTTTTTATTTTCCCCTTCAAATTTAAACGGAAGAAGATGTAAATTAAATAAGTAAGTTTCTTAAAAAAATATTTTTAAAGTTTGTTTTTTACTTTTGAATTTAAACGCAAGGAAGTAGAAATTAAATTACTTACGTTTTCAACAGATATTGTCAATTTTTTTTACCTCTTTCAAACTTAAACATAAGAATATAAAACGTAATAATATCAAATTACTAAAATTTGTCTCAGTTAAGAAAAATTAAATTAAAAATGCTTTGAGCATTTTCCATAAAAAATTAAATTTATTTATTTTTAGGATCCTTTATATTTAATTTAAAACAGTCTCTTGAATAATAATTTTTTAAATCATCGTTATAGTTTAATGCCTTTTTTAAAAAAAAAATTAACCCAAAGAAAACAAAAATTATTTTTTATTTGTTTAGGAAAATAATTTCACTCAATTGTTTTACATGTATTTATAATTTTCAATTTGCATTTTAAAACTTCTCTAGTAGTATTATAACAAAAAAAAGTACTTTTTAACGAAGTTAGGTTAGAATATTTGTTGAAAGATTAATTTTGATATTTATTTGAAGTATTTCGAAATATTTTATAGTCCATATATTTATCATTTCTCCAACACGATGACAAAGAAAGTCCTCAGTTCTTCGCATTGACATCAAGGAATTGAAATATCAAGAGTGTGAGCTGTCATAAGCATAAAAACTTAAAGGTGTTTACGAATTTCAGAATGAAAATTATTGTCTCGCAAGGGCAACGAAGAACTGAAACTAACTGAGCTATTATAATTGGGTAGATTTGATAGGTTTAAAAGCGAATAGTTCACATCAAAAAACAAAGTGTCTTATGTTATGCTTTAACTATACTTAAACAGTTCAAATAATAATAATTTTATTCATTGTTATTATTCCTTAATAAATTAGTATTAGTCGTGCTGTTACACTTTTTAAGTTAAGTAAACAAAAAAAAAGTTCTCGAAGCGCAGAAAAAAAACGTTGATGACAGGTATGAAAGACTTAACATTGAAATAATGCTTAAGAGGCTTGCGTCATACATGTTGTTTTTTAAAAGCATGATAATTGTTTTGCTTCTGCAAATTCTTCGACTGCATGTCCTTTATTTCAACTGAATTTTTTTTATTTTAATAACTTATTAATAATTAAAAATTTTGATTTTTTAAAGAGGAATTATTTTTAAAAACTTCAATAGTTGATTTAAAATTTTAAGATATTATGTTACAATACATTTCAAATGGGTTTAATTTATCACAGAGAGCGAAGCAAGCATAGTTTGCAAATCAGACAATATAATATTGCATATCAATCTTTGGAGGTTGGGGAGCATTGCAAGGAAGGGGGCCCACTAGATTAAAATATTTTTTTATGGAAAACAAAATACACGCTTAAAATTTTAGCACAAATGCCTCATGAAGTTATGAATGAATTCCATTATTTTTGCTTGAGCATAAAGCTAATTTAATATTTCGCAATGTTTAAAATTTTTTTTAAATCATTTTTTTCTTCAAAGATAAACCGAGGAATATTTTTAAAAAAAGTTTTAATTACACTACCAGATAAATGGAAAGCAGTCCACGAGATCTTGATTAAGTCTATCAAATTATACGAAACGAAATCCTAATCACAATTATGTGGGCATTTTCCAAAACGAATCCCAGAATTCGAGGTTCGAATCCCAGCGATGGCTGGTCTATGCGAATTCCGCACGCAGCTCGTACCGACCACAGTGTTGATGCAAAATATGCTCAGGGATAGACGGATCATGAGTTACAGCCCCTTTGCCGTAAGTCTAACCGTGGGAGGTTTTCGTGATTTTCTTAACGCAAATGCGAGTTAGTTCCATTAAAAGTCCTCCATGAAGGCGAATTCCACGCAATACTTGATCCAGGAGTTTCCTTGTCTTCTGGATTGGGTTCCAAATTACAAGACGACGGAGTCGTAAACTCAAAATTAGGTTGGTTGTTTAACGACGTTTAATAAATAAACTAATTAACTGATGGTACTAGGTAAAAGAAGTGTTCATATTTCTTGGATATATATGTTAAAATTATTTAAAAAGTTTTCTAAGTTTTAATAATAATGGCACAATAAAGGTTTAGATCGCGCACACAATATCGACCCAAAACATTTCTTAAAATGTATAGTTATTTTAAAATTAAAAATATTATAAGTGTCTTATTTTGTTAAAAAAAAAATATGGATTATACTTTTACTTTCGAAGGAAACGAACCGAAACATTTATTTTTTGCTGCAATTTATTGTTCACGAATAGTAAGCTACGTAAAATGGGAAAACTAATTTTGGAATATTCAATGGAAATATAGAACAATTAATAGAACAATCCCGTGCTTTCTTTTCGCTATCCACATAAAATTAATATTCCTTTTAAGTACATTAGTTCGCACTTGAAGAAACAAATATATTTAAAATAATTTCATAGGATTGTACTATTTTTTGCCGGATTTTTAATACATTACCTAAGTAGGGTAAACTAATAATCTGAACATTTGAAAATAGCCGTAGTCATTTTGCAATGTTCCAGGATAGATGGAAGATTTTCCTGTAATTTACAATCAGCTTGACCCTTTTTAGGCTTATTGCAGTGATCCTAAAAACGTTTATGCTTAGTTGGGAAATATATTATTCATTGCTCAATTAACTTGATTTATTTCAGGCAATTGGCAATTACCCCGGAGTAGTTGTAGGCTTATTGTATATTGACGGTTTATTAAAATAATCTGAATTCTATCCAAGTAATTCAGTGCATTTTCCTTAAAAAGCCTATAGGGATTGTAAAAAGTCTAAAAATTTGAAAATACCGAAGATTTTCCCCTGTCGCATTGCAAACATTCTGTGACATTCACAACGGATCGGGTTTTTTTAACTAGCTTATAACATCTATAACTTTTACTGGAACAACCAGTTTCGACCTGCGTTTCCGTAACTCGAAATTTATCAAAATGAAAGTTTTTATTAGAAATCTAAGAGCTTTATCCACTTACGAATAAACTTCATTAGACGGCAAAAATTTTCACTACTATTTGAAAATTGATATTAGTTGTTTCTTAAAATGTTTAGGTTTAGGTTAGGTCCTTAGGTTTCGACTTCTATTTAGTCTCGATGTAATAATATACATATCCTTTCTAATTTTTTATTTTTTTTTAAATATTTTTGTTCTTTTCAATCATTAATTTGCAGCACTGAAAGTAAAAACATTATAAATGATGTAAAATGAAATTGATGTATAAAACGATTAATTCCTTTAAAAACTAAACTTCAATAAATTTTATAAAATAAATTGAATTTTATTTTTTAAAATGAAACTATGTATATTTTATTAAGTGGTTTCTACTAGATACTAGATAAAGATATAACTCATGATGCTAAATATATTTCATCAAATACGCAGATATAATTAAATAATAATAAAATGAATATTAGATATAACTGATAATGCTAGTTAAATTTCATCAAATACATAAATATAAATCGTCAATGACAAAACAAAGATAAAACTCGCAATGCTAGATATATTTCATCAAATACGTAGGTATATATCATCAATAATAAAACAAGTATTAGATATAACTCACAATGCTATTTATGTTTTATTAAATACTAGGTGTCAATACCCATGACTGTGACGCAATAATTTTTGATTTTTGACGATAAGCAGATATATAAATATATATAAATCAAAAATAAAAGTTATCCAAGTAAAAAAATCTAAAAATTTAAACCTAATTATTACTTTTGTTACCATTACATAATGAGTAATATCGTAATATTACCCTGTACTATTATAAAGGAGCACCACTTTAGTTATTAAGCTTCTAACTTTGAATAATATTATTGCTATTGTTGCTTTATATTTTAATTAGACTTGTAGCGTATCTACCACTACAGAAATGTAATTCCAATTCACTAGTATATAAGACAAGTTAACTCGATTCTATGGTGAGGTACCTTTTCATAGATGAAGGTTGACATTGTCGATAACAACTTTCCTCTCCACGTTGGTGACCCGGACGTGATACGAACATGCCTACCTTGGCATAAACTCCCACTTAGATATGAACACGCCTAACTTGACAGTAACGCCCACTTCGATCTGAATACGCCCATTTCGATGGATGGTCCACATTAAAACAGTTGACTTGCTACTTGTGACTGCGACATTATTCACCTCGCACTGTTGCTATTCAGTCTCGTCTCGATCATGCACAACGTCGACTTGCATGCACTCGACTGACAACGGCAACACAGGAGCGACAACAACCGTGATTTTAACACAGCTCTCACGATCAGCAAAAGTACGGTGATCTTAATACAACTCTCCCGGCT